GGTTCAAGGTAATCAATCCTCTTTCTCTAATCAATACTAACCCTATACATAAACCAGTTTTAATCTCTCTTTATCTCTGGAAAGTTGAGTCCTTTAACAAAGATATCAAGATACACCCAGGAAGAATCAAAATAACCTTCTTGGCCCATATTGAGGATTTATAACCACCCTCCCATCTTTTTCTTCTGACGGTGTTTCTCTATATTTGTTTTTGTTCTGGTATTATATAAATCTTATCCTTGGACTTCATTTTGGCTGGGTTCTTTTTTTTCTTGTCATTTACCTTTGTCAGTCTTTTTGTTTGTCCATTTTTGTTCATATACCTTATAAATCTTATCTTTGGGGCCCATTCTGGCTGGGTCTTCTCTCTTTTTTTTTTTTTTTTTTTTTCTTATCTCTTTCTCTTTTTCTTTTTCGTGGTAACTTCCGGTTGCTCAGAAGCGTTCCAGGGTGCACCTTGCCTGGATCACAGTTGATATATTCAGCTACACATCCCCTCAACCACCTCTTACCAAAATGACTAGGAGAAGGAATGTCCAACAGAGGAAAAATTCAGATACTGTGCTCTCTCCATCAGAGTTATTGGATATGGACATAAGCAGTATGTCGTCAAGGGAATTCAGGGTAACAATTATCCAGGCAATGGCTAGGTTGGAGAAAACCATCAACACAACATGGAACTGATTAGGGCAGAAGCGAAAGCCACCTGGGAAGAAGTTAAAAATGCTATCAATGAGATCCAATCTAATCTAAATTCTCTAACAGCTAGGGTAACCGAGGCAAAATACAGAATTAGTGATCTAGAGGACAAAATGTAGAGAAAAAGGGTCAGGAGGAGGCCTGGAACAAACAGCTTAGAAGCCATGAAAACAGAATTAGGGAAATAAATGACACCATGAAACATTCCAATGTCAGATTATTGGGATCCCTGAGGGGGAGGAAAAAGAAGGAAGACTAGAAGATATAGTTGAACAAATTCTCCATGAAAATTTTCCCAATCTAGGGAAAGGAACCAGTGTTTGTGTCCTAGAGGCAGAAAGATTTCCCCCCAAAATCATAGAATCTAATAAGATCTTGAGACACCTCCTTGTGAAACTGATGAATCATAATTTTAGACAGGAGCTCTTGAGAGCAGCTAGGGGGGAAGAGATTCCTTATGTACAGAGGAAGGTCCATCAGAATAACATCAGACCTATCCACAGAAACCTGGCAAGCCAGAAAGGGCTGGCAAGACATATTCAGGGAACTAAATGAGAATAACATGCAACTAAGAATACTTTACCCAGCAAGGCTGACATTCGAAGTAGATGGAGAGATAAAGAGCTTCCAAGACCGGCAAGGTTTAAAAGAGTATGTGACCACCAAGCCAGCACTACAAGAAATATTCAGGGGGGGTTCTATAAAAGAAGAAAGAACCCAAGAGTGTCATAGAACAGAAATTTACAGAGACAATCTATAGAAACAAGGACTTCACAGGCAACATGATGTCAATAAAAAGGTATCCTTCAATAATCACTCTCAACGTGAACAGCCTAAACGCTCCCATAAAATGGCACAGGGTTGCAGATTGGATAAAATGACAGGACCCATCCATATGTTGTCTACAAGACACCCATTTTGAAGGATACATCCAGACTTAAAGTGAAGGGGGAGAAGCATCTTTCATGACAATGGGCCTCAAGCTAGGATAGTGATTCTCATATCAGATAAATTAGATTTTAAACTAAAGACTATAGTCAGATATAAAGAAGGACACTACATCATTCTTAAAGGGTCTATCCACCAAGAAGATCTAATAATTATAAATATTTATGCCCCCAATAAGGGAACAGCCAACTACATAAGACAACTGTTAATCAAGATAAAGAGTCAAATTGATATGAATGCATTAATAGTAGGGGATCTTAACACACCACTCTCAGTAACAGACAGATCATCCAAGCAGAAAATCAATAAAGAAGCAAGAGCATTGAATAACACATTGGACCAGATGGACCTCATAGATATATACAGAACATTCCACCCTAAAACAACAGAAAACCCACTGAGCCACCCAGGCACCCCTGTATATGACATATTTTAGATCTTTGTGTATCACCTAAATTTTGTAGATACAATCGATTTTACTATTTTTTCTTTTAGTCATCATTCTAGCTTTCTAAGTGATTGATCTACTACTATCTTTAGCATATGTTTACCAGTAAATTTTTTCCTTTCATAATTTCTCCTAGTAATGGACACTTCCTTGTTTAAAGAAGTGTCTTTAACATTTCTTGTAAGACTGCTTTAGTGGTGATAAACTAATTTTGTTTTTCTGGGAAATGCTCTCCTTCAATTTCGAATGCTACGCTAAGTAGGGTATTTGTGGTTGTAGACTTTTTCCCTTTCAACACTTTGTAGGCCAAAAGGGAGTGGCATGATATACTCAAAGTTTCTGCCTAGAAATCAGCTTATAGCCTTATGGGGCTTCCCTCTTATGTAACTAATTGCCTTCCTATTGGTGCATTTGACATTTTAAGTATCATGTGACCTCCTTTGGGTTCATCTTGTTAGAGGCTCTCTGTACTACCTGGATATCTCATTCTCCAGGTTAGGGAAATTGTCTGCTATTACATCTTTAAATAAGTTATCTGCCCCCTTTCTCTCTCTGTCCTCCTCCTGACCCCTAAAAATGTTAGTAAAACTGATGTTGTCTAAAGGTCCCAAACTTAACCTCATTTTTTAAAATTGTTTTTTTTGCTGTTCAGCATGGGTGTTCTCCATTACTCAGTCTTTCAGATCACTGAGCTATTCTTCTCCATCTCTAATTACCTTTAATTCCCCCGTTGTATTTGTCTTTTCAGTTATTGTATTCTCCGACTCTTATTGATTCTTGTTTATATTTTCTCTTTGTTGAAATTCTCATGAGTTCATCTACTCAGCTCTAGCGAATATCTTTATGACCTTCACTTTCAACTTTTATCTGTTTTGTTTAGTACTTTTTCTGAGGCTTTATCTTGTACTTTCATTTGTAACATATTCCCCTCTTCCCTCATTTTGTCTACCTCTGTTTCAATGTATTATGTCTTGAAAGTAGTGGCCCTATGTAAAAGGTGTCCTGTGGAGCCCTGTAGTGCATTCCCCCCGTCACCAGAACCAGGCACTCCAAGGGTGTCCCCTGTGTGGGGTATATGTGCCTTCCTTCTGTGACTGGGCCACGACTGCTTTAGGCACATTAGTGAGCAGGGCTGACCCCAGCTAGGCTGGCTGAGTTGCCTGTCTACAGCCGCTGCAGGCCTGCTGGTGGATGGGGTTAGCCCCTGGTGCATTCTGGGCAAAAGGCCCGTCCATCCTGCCTGGGGCAGCCTGCCCTATGTGGCAGGAGGGTCATCTGCCAGGACAGGGCAAGCAGGGCTAGCAAAGTAGATGGAGATTGTCAGAATTGGCTCCCACCAGTGTGAGGCCAGCCAGACTTAAGGAGAGGAAGAAAAAAGTTGGCTGCCAACACTCCCATTCCAACAGAAAGCTCCTACAGATGCATACCTATCTGAAATTTGCCTTAAAATTTAGTCCATAAATCCTATATAACCAAGGTACTTTTCACACTACTGCCTTTGTAATGAATCCTAAAGTGATTGATAGAATCTGCTGGCCCTTTAAAAACAGAGTCTCAGTTTACTATAGTCCTTCACTCTTCTGGAGCCTTGCTGATTTTCAAAACCAGGTGTTATAGGAGCTCATCTTCCCCATGCTGATCCCCAAGACAGGGGATTAATCCCCTCACTACTCAGGAAAGACCTCTGCACCTGTGATATCACTCTTCCTTATGGATCACCAAACCCAGGGTTTGGCTCTCTGCCCCTCCTACCCTTATCAATGTGGCTTTTCTTTGTATCTTTAGCTGTAGAAGATCTGTTCTGCTAATCTTGGAGTGGTCTTCAGAGGGAGTTGCATTATATGTGGTTGTAGCCTCTGTATCCATTAAAGGAGGTGAGATTAGGATCCTCCTTATCTGCCATCTTCCCAAGCTCCTCCTCTAATACCATACTTAAAAGGATTACCTCAGTAAATTTCAAACCTAGCATTGGAGTAGGTAGTTGTATGTAACAGTTACCTGTGTGAAGACAAATAATTCTGGAGGGCTTTGGTTCTATACATGGTCCAGTTAACTATCTGGGAATGAGTAAAGATGAAGATGTTGGGTAAATCAACTTTCCAAAGAAAACAGACATCACCAATTTACCTTACAAAGGCAAACAAATCTTTAAAGGCACATTAACTTTTTAAAAATGCTCTTGGGATGAAATTGCAAAATAGTTGACTTCCATAGTATTTTGGGGGGGGCACTAAAAAGTGACATAGGTTCTTTTTTTATGATTTATCTTTTGGTATCAGTAATTTTGAGGTAAAATACCTCTTAGCTCTGTAACGTGAATACTAACATTACCTTGAGATTTTTTCCTCTTAAATTTTATCTTTCATCTTTCCTATGGCATACAAATGAAAGTTATTTTTCAAACAAGATCCATGTTCGAGATTAGGTTTAGTAAGCATTTATGTGCCAAACTGTACTAAGCATTTTATATACATCATCTCATCTTTAAAGTTACCTGTGAGGTGGGTAATGTCTCCAGTCTCACAGATCAGAAAACTGAAGCACATAAAAGTCTATTTATTGGAGTATGGTCCCATAATACAGTGTAGAATTGGCATTTGAACCCAGCTCTACCCAAGCCTGTTATCTTATGCATTTTAACTATGGATATGCCCTTCTACTTAAACAGAAAACATTTTAAGGGAAATGTTAACCTCCCATCTAAGGAGAGTATCCCAGTGTTTGATACAGAAAGTTATGCAATATATATAACCCCTTACACATACCAGGTAGTAGTTCAATTTTAGTTTACCAATATATTTAGCTTATACTTAACCAGAAGCAGAGAAGTGAAAATTTTCTCTCTTGGGGATGCAAAATCTAGCCTGCAACTAAACATAATAAAAATAATCTTTTGAACAGCTGCTAAATATGTCCAGGGAACTGAGTGACTTAAAGAAAAACCTGAAGGAGGCCACTGCAGCCATTGCAGCTGACCCTCTCTATATAGAGGGTGCATGGTCTGAGCCAACCTTCACATCCACTGAAGCAGCCATCCAGTCCATGCTGGAGTGCCTGAAGAACAATGAACTTGGCAAGGCTTTACGGCAAATCAGGGAATGCAGGTAACTCTACTCTTTCTTTTAGAAACAGTGAAAGGAAATGCATGCCTAATAGTTACTTTGTCATGGCTGGGGACTGAATCACTACAGATGGGACATCTAGATATTTTATACACATCCTTCTCAAATCTTTCTCATTACCATGCCAGCTATATGATTTCAGAACTTACATGTTTAAAGTATAGGTGTTACTTCTGGTCTTCTATCATTCCTGTAATGTTGAAAGAGTTCAAACTCGGGTTGGGGTTGTTGGGGTATACTTTGAAAATTATTTAAATATGTCCTTTTCCCCCTGCATTTTGGTAGTATAGTCACAGTCACTGGAACCAGAATCCTATAGCAAATAAATATTTTATGATTATCAAATTCTGTTCTGATATTTAGAAGCTTTGGATATTTTCATCAGAACCAGTAACATTCCATAATCAGTTATGGTGATGTTTGCAAAACTCTGAATATACTAAAAACTACTGTGTTGTATGCTTCAGATGGTTGAATTGTATAGTAGTATGTGAGTTATACCTCAAAACACTCTTATACTACAGAGGCTCATAACCTCTCAACTTTGTAACCAATAATGCCTCTAATCTATGCTGTTTTTTGACTACAGAAGTCTGTGGCCCAATGACATCTTTGGAAGCAGTTCTGATGATGAGGTCCAGACACTACTGAATATTTATTTCCGCCATCAAACTCTGGGACAAACGGGTACTTATGCATTGGTGGGATCGAACCAGAGCCTGACTGAAATCTGCACTAAGCTGATGGAGCTGAACATGGAGATCCGGGACATGATTCGCAGGGCCCAGAGTTACCGAGTCCTCACTACTTTTCTTCCAGACTCCAGTGTTTCTGGCACTAGTCTCTGACAGGAGCTTCCCATCCCCCATGGGTTCCAAGCTGGGGGTGCTGTCATGCTGGGGTGACGTCATTCAGTGTCTTTTCAGCCTTCAGAAGGCTTGGTCAGACTGTTCTCCCTCTTGTTACCTGTAGGACTTTTTCTAAACAGGATGACAGAACTTCCAACGTGTAGCAATACTATCAGAACCAAGGTAGCATAGAATATTCTGGGACAGACTCCATCCGTTATGCTGTGTGGCACAATGGTGTTATTTTACTGAGCAGATGCAACTCACTACTGAAGAAAGTGACTTCCATTGCATACCAAAGCCGACTACACTGAACAATACCTTTCCTTTCTAGAAACAATTTTAGATTGGCAAAAGTGCAATGTTTTCTTCACTAAAATATTTTATATTCTAAAACTTGTACATTCTTTTATTTTTCCTTTTCTTTTGTTTTTTTTTCTTTTTTTTGGTGGGCCGAGGAAGGGGCAGGCAGAATGAAGCTGGCCACTGAAAACTGTTAGACGGTCAAAAGCTGACAGCCTGTTTATGTGAAAAGGGAATTGTAAATGGACAATTTAATATACACTGTAATTTGAATATGATTACTGTATCTAAAAGGAGCTGCTATGAAGTACCTTTCTTATGTTGCTAGGCTACTGTTTCTGAAAGCCCTGAATCTCTTTGCAGAAGTCTGTGATTAGGACCCTAGCACCAAATATGGTCCAGATAGACCTTTTTGTAAGGGTCTTGGCTGCTTTTTACTAGAAAGTTGCTTATATGAGCATATTTATACTACAAAAGGATGAGTGTTAATTTTAACCAACTTTGCCATTTTGTAGGAAAAAAAGTTAAAGAAATTCACATTATAAATTCCAAGTCTTTTCACCTGTCACGCATGCATATTTTAATATCCATTTGGATAGCCAGAAGTAGAATCATAAAGATAAACTGAGTTGTCACTTTGTTACTTAAGAAATGTCATATTTTATTTGTAACATATATGTAAAGGGCCATTCTTAAGTTTTCTCCTTCAGATTAATGCTGTCAAGTGTTAGCTGTGTGCATGTAAGCCAGTTGCACATCAGAAACATATTCAAAGTTGATCTATGTAACTTATTCACTCTGTAAATACAAAGTTTTTGTGATGTAATCTTGGTTGATAATCTATTCAGAACTTCCTTTAGACTAAAAAAAAAAAAAAAAAAAATACATATCGACCATGGATTTTATTTCTGGTTTAGAGATCGTTGCCTTCGACACACATTTACAGGTTTGCATGTGGGTTACCCCAAGGAGCACCACTCATATACATTCCATGATTGGCTTTCACTGGGGCTGAGCAGCAAGCACAGGGACCCTGTGAGGCAGGAACTATCTGTTACCACTTTGGAAGTGGACACTAAGTTAAGACTGTGACCTTCAACCAGCTCTCTCTAATCAACCAAAAAGAGAAATCAGAAGAGTGAGCTCTACTTGTCAGCATCTATCATCAGATTGTTATCCTTTAAATTGTGAGATAGACTCTAAGGAAAAGTATGAGTTTTAATTCTGTCACCATTGCTCATATATCTCCACCCCACATGAAAAACAGAGACACAGACACACACAACAATCTGTTACTGTCTTCCTACTCATATTTACTGAGACTAACAAATATAACTTGCTTCTCTAACATACAAAAACTAAATCTTAAGTAGTAATTTTCTAGAAGTAGCCTGTAACGGGGAGTATGAGCCAGGAATTTTTAAGTTCCCCAAGGTACAACTATTAACCAATTGTAATAACTTTCTTGAGATGGGGGAGGATTCAAGATGGTGGCATAGGAAGATCCTGAATGCACCTCATCCAATGTATACAAAAATCTATAATTACATTCAGAATAAATCCCACAGAAGGGGACCTAGAAACTGGATTAACAGAGCCTTCGCAAAAAAAGACAAAGTACTGAGACAGATAGAAGAGGCAGGGATACGGTCTCGCTAAAGAACACATACTACTGGCATAGAGTTCCATGATTAGGAGAGTTCTCAAAGTTATTAACTTAAAATAACTTAAAAGTTATTTCCCCTTAAAATCAAGATACTTGAGATCTTTATTAGGAACCCTAACCCTTACATCCTGCATAGGAGGGAAGAGTTCCCAAAACACATGACTATGAAAACTACAGGGGAGTAAGTCCAAGAAAATTAGAACTGCAGGGAAAGGGCAACCCATTCTTAAAAAGGCTCATGTACAGACTCATTCAACCCAGAAGCCAGTGTACAAATACCAGATTGAAAGTGCCCACACCATAGGTGAAAGAGACCTACTTAAAAATTTGGAAGTGCCTGCCAGAGAGGAGACAACTGGGACACAACTGGAGACAGACACTGGCAATAGCTACTTTTGTTCACTCATTCTACCATGCTGAACCCAGCACTGGCAAGTTCTATTTTGGAATCCTCCCCCTAGACTCCTAATGCCAGGGAACATGCCCCACTGAGAGCCCTATATAACCTTGCATCTCAGCAGGTCCTCACAGCCAGCCAGGCTAGGCCCCAGCCTAACCCCATTAGCACACCCATATCAGTTGCTGCCAGATGCACAGCCAGCTGGGACAGGCACCACTCCTGCACAGCAATATACCCACAGCAGTCTGGCACCACTGCAATAGGGCAATGCATGCATTCCGCAGCATGAACAGCCCTGGGGCACATGAGTCTAGTGGATAGGTGATTGCACTATACAGAAGCAGAATTGGACAAAATAAAGAGAACAACATGTTCCAAATGAAAGAAAAAAAAAACATTCAAAAAAAGAATGAAATAGGGATAAGCAATCTACCTGATAGAGTTCAAAGTAATGGTTAATAAAGATGCTTACTGAATTTAAGAGAAGAATGGATAAACATAGAACTTCAACAAAGAGAAAATACAGAAAGGTATTAATCAGATCTGAGGACTACAATAACATGAAAAATATACTAACGGGATAAACAGCAGATTAGATCATAGAGAAGAATGGATTAGAAATCTAGAAGACCTGGTACTGGAAATCACCCAGACTGAACAGCAAAAAAAAGATTTTTTCAGAAATTGGGATAGTTTTAATATACCTCTGGGATAATATCAAGCATACTAATTAATATTCATATTATAAAGGTCCCATGAGAAGAGAAAAAGCAGAAAACTTGTTTTATAAACTAAAACTTTTTATAAGAAGATATAACAGCTGAAAAACATCCTAAAAAAGGAAACAGACATGCAGTCCCAAGAAGCACAGTGTCCCAAACAAGGTAAGTCCAAAGAGATCCACAAGAAGGCACGTTATAATAAGAAAATTAAACATAAGAAAATTTTAAAAGTAAGAAGAAAAAAATTAGTTATATCTAAAGGAACCACCATAAGACTATCAGCCTATTTCTCAGCAGAAATTTTGCAGGCCGTAAGTGGTAGGCATGAGATATTCAAAGTGCTAAGAGGAAAAACAAGCTTAAAAAAAAAAATGATACTCTACCCAACAAAGTTATAATTCAGAACTGAGGAGGAGATCAAGAGTTAGCCAAACAATTAGAGGGACTACACAAAGAACAGCAGGAGAGACAGATACATGGTACCGATGGAAATCCCACACCTGATACTACAAGATGCAGCAGAAAGAGATAGCATTAAAGGGACCATGCTCGATTCCCCCAACCTGAGATACAACAAAACAAAACAGTTTAAAGGGTAACTAAACTTTAAGTGAAGAAAACTAATTTATAACTCCTAGAGCTTCTGCCCAGCAATGGACTGCTACAACTCTCTCTGTGGCCATGGGTACTGGCGAGCACCACTGTTTATGCTCCCCCTCCACCTGATAGCAAGAGCAGAAATAGGGCCCAAATGCTTTAGCCAATTGGCCACCTCCAGAAGCCCCAGACTCCTAGCCCATAGCAGTTCCAGCCATCATCTCAAGGCGGCCACAGAACACACTCCAGTTTTGACCATCCCACCACAGCTGTCTTTGGGTGGCACACACCCTAACACCCCTGACCTTTGCCCACTACAACCAGCCATCCCACCAAGGTAGCCTGGGCATGGAGCACCTCAGGACATGCTGGCTTCTGCTCCACCCATCCCACCAGGATGCCCTGCATGTAAAGCCTCAGCCCATACCCACCTAAGCTCTAGCCATCCTACCAGAGAATCTCCAGTGCAAAGTGCCCCAAAACACTGGCCTTGCACCTGATGAAGCTCCAGCCAGCTGGCCAAAGCTGCCCGATACATGCCATCAACACAGGGGATGTTCCTACACAAGGCTATTCCTTTAATATTGAGAGCAGTAGCCATTTTCCTTATTCAAAGAAACAAAATGAGAAGAAGAATATGCTCCAAAAGAAAGAACAATACAAAACCTCAGAAAAAGAACCAAACAAAATAGAGATAAGCTACCTGATAAAGAATTCAAAGTATTGTTCATATAGATGTTAACCAAACCTAGAGAAGAGTGGATAAACTCAGTGAGAACTTAAACAAAGAGACAGAAAATATAAATAAAAGTTGAAGAACAAAAGGACTAAAAATGAAAAACACACTAGAGAGAATCAACAGCAGATTAAAAGATACAAAACAGAGCAGCGATCTGGAAGACAGAACACTGGAATGCAACCAAGCTGGAAAAAAAAAATTTTTTTTAAACAAGAAGATAAGGAAGTTGGGAAGATAGCAGAGTAGGAGGATCCTGAGACACACAAAGGCAACAACTACATCTATGCAACTAACTCAGATAATGACCTGAAGACTGACAGACCAGACCTTCCACAGTTAAGTCAGAGAGAAGACCACATCAAAAAGGATAGGAGAGGCAGACACTTGGTTAAGAATCAAACTGCCAGAGTTGATTAACTATAAATGAGAGGGACATCATAATCACTGAGAAGCAAGGGTACCAGGCCCCACACTGGTCACCCCCAGCCCTGGGATCTACACTGGAAAGATAAGTCCCCCATGCCTGGAGTTGAAAATCAGCAGGGTTTAACTCCAGGAGCTTTAAAAGTCAGTGGGGCTTAACTCCAAAAGAGCCCGAGGGTGATAAGAGACTGAGTCTCTGCCCTTAAAAAAGTCATCACACTAAATAATTTGTCCTGAGACACAGCATAGAAGCATCAATTTGAAAAACACCTAGGGTATACATAAAGGAGTTTTACTGACTAATTTTAGAAAGGGTGCCCAAAAAACAGGGATCTGCAGAAAACATCTCTGGGAACAAAAGTGCTGATGGGCACCATTTTTCTTGCCCTACCCCAGCCTAAAGAGCTGAACACTTATGGGAGCCAGCTCTAATCAACTTTCTGTACCTTGCCAACACCACATGCCCTGCACCAACATACCACTGTAAACCTGAGCCACCCCGCCCACTGGGCTTGGAAGGTGTCCCTACAAAGTGGGTCCTGTCCCTCCCTTCTCAGTAGGCAGCCAAAGTCAGACCAGACCAGCACCACATCAAAGTGATTTCTGCTCTGAGAAGGTGGGGAAATAACCACACACCAGTGTGCCTGCAGTTCCTACAGCTGGGCCTCTTAGTTGGCTGTGCAGGGAGCAAGTGTGCTTGCAGCTGTGACAGAGGCTACTTGCAGACAGATTGTCTGAGTGCTGGCCGCACCCACTAGTAAATCCAGGTGGCTAAAGGTGGGCCTCTAAACAGCATAGGAAACAAATCCTGCCCAGTGGCCCCACAGAAGGCCAAGTGGGTCACTGGAGTGAAGCTGAGGTGAAGAACAGCCCCTACCACCAGTGTGCGCATAGCAATCCCACCTTAGCCACAAAAGGAGGGCACGTGAAGACTACACAGGGAATGGGCAGCCCTGGAATGCCTAGTTCTGGTGACCAAGGGGTATTACATTATAGGACACCACAGGATCTCTCCTATACAAAACCACTACATTCTAGATCAGGAAGAGTTGCTTACCTAAGAGCATTAGAAAAAGTGAAGAGACAGAGGAATATCTCCCCAATGAAAGAAAAACACAAATATCACAGAAAAAGATCTAAATGAAATGGAGATAAGCAATATGTCTGCAAGAGTTCAAAGTAAAGATCATAAAGATACACCTCACTTGAGAGAAGAGCAGATGAATCAGTGAGAATTTCAACAAAGACATTGAAAATATTAAAAAGAATGAGTCCACAAAAAGTTGAAAAGAGAGCTTCCCTACAGACCAGGATTTGCAT